AAATTTTTTTAAAAAAAAAAAAAAAAAAAAAAAAAAAAAAAAAAAAAAAAAAGCCCAGCCTGCGTGGCTCAGTGGTCGAGCATTGACCTAAGATTCAAGAGATTGCCTTTTGTTTCCGGGTCAGGGCACATGCTCAGGTTTCAGGCTTAATCCCTAGTAGGGGGCATGCAGGAGACGGCCGATCAACGACTTTCTCATCATTGATGTTTCTATCTCTCTCTCCCTTCCTGTCTCTGAAATCAATAAAAATATATTTTTTAAAAAAAGAAATGACATATCCTAAAAAATAATGCATTTTATGAAAAAAGCTCACAACATTTTTCCTGTTACACCTTGATTTTAAGGAATATAACTAGCAATGGTATTCAAAGGTCACTGAGGGGAACAACTGATAGCAAAATGCACTTTTAAAAAGGCCTACGATGGAAAAACCCCACTATTTTTGAAATAACTTGTTTTGCATAAGACAAACTAACATGTACAAATGTTATAAAAAACTTACCCTGGTTTTGGCATAATTGAGCATTTCCTGGGTTGTCTCATAGGTTATCCACTGAGCTTCCAAGCAGTAATTCACCACAAATTCATCGTCCTGTTTCACAAACACCAGACATAGAAAGGTGACCTAGTGCTGAGCGACCTGTTGATCTGAACACACTAGCACGTGGCAGGGGGCACACACCTGGATTTTATGTAGCGTCTCCTTAGCTTCATCTACGAGTTTTTGCCATTCGGTGTGCTCACCGGTGTCCAGAGAACTCAAAGCTAGTTTCTCCAATATGTCATTTGATTTTACCTTGTAAACAAGCTGTAATACAAATATGTCACACCAAAGAGCTTGAAGCCAAAAACGCTGTCTCCCGAGCATCTAGTACACACACAGATAAATGCCTGTTCAACAAGCGAGTAAATTCATGAGCGATTACCTCAACATCCAGCCCAAACTGAATGGCAAAGCTCTCGGCTTCAGCAAACCTGTGCTTGTGAAGCAACCGACTCAATCTGTCAGGTGGGAAAGAAATTTTGGCAAAATTTTTATTCATCAGGGGATTTCAGTTTTTCATTAAGAGATGAAGCCTAAAAGAAACCCGTTTTCTTTTAAAAGTTACCTGTTTTCTGGTAGAGCTTCTGTGAGACATCTGAGTACTAAAACAGAGACCGAGTCTTCAGATGGGCTGAAAGAAAGTTTTCACTTATGTTTGTCATCTAATATTAATATGTAAATTTTAACGTAGCTGTGATTTAACAACTTATCTGATGAAACAAAACGTGACCTACTCTGGATCATTTTTGGAAATTCCCTCCAGAAGGTATATGGTATCCTACAACAGTAACAAAAACATTTACGATTGACATGCAGAATCAATTCATTTCAGAGTTACTAGAGTAACAACTGGTTTAGGCAGAAATTATCTATCAGTGGAATTGTAAAATCCCTGGGAAAACTGCTGGGGAAAAGTATATTCCCATAGCCTTAAAAATAACACCGCGGGAATGACTTACCCATTACAAAGGAGAAAATGTACCTTTACAACGGAAATCCGGCATGGCTGCCTTAACCGCGTCACCAAATGTAACATTGCCAAAGCAGGACAAAGGGACATGAGCCCCACAATGTAACGGGGTCAGGACACAATGTTCCCTATGCAGTATTCTTGCCAAAAAAGATGAGCATGAACCTTATCATGATTGAACAAACAAATCCAAATAGAGGGATGGATATTCTAAGACTCAAAAAACACCGTCATAGAAGACAAAAAAGACTGGGGAACTGTTCTAGATTTAAGTAGACTACCGTGTGACCATGACAAGAAAATTCTATAGGTGATGCCTGGTTGGATCCTGGATCAAAAAAAAAAAAATAAAAAAATAGCTTTAGCGCAATTGGTAAAATTTGAATTTGGATGGTATGTTTCATAATAGTTAAATTTTGTAAGTATGACAGCTGTGTGGTAGAAGAATGCCCTTATTCTTAGGAGGTACCTGCTGGAGCATTTAAGGGTGACAGGTCAGGATGCCGGCAATTAATTTCTAAATGGTTTGGAAAAATATAGCGTGTGCATAGAAAGAGATGCAACAAACAGAAAAAAAAAGTTTTTTACAGATCACAGTTAAAAATTAAATAAATAAAAGCAATTACA